TACAGGAATCAGGCGCTCATACCCGGTATTGTAACTCTCCCGAGGGACTAAAAACATCCGAAACACCAAGCATGATGGGATTGAGCGAAGAGGGTTATATGTTTCATTGTTTTGTTTCTTATTGTATTAGATTATTTATTTAATTGTTGACACTGACATATAATTATTGTTTTAATATATTTAGTTTGGTTTTTTGAAAGAGCCTTTAAATGGTTCCAAGTTATTGGTTTAATGTAAGTTGGTTTTAAAGTTTGAGTTTGTTTTATTAAACTTTTATTTTATTTGAATTTTTGAAAAATAGTCTTCCGTTGTGTGACTTTGAAAAGCCTTAGCCGTTATCACAGTGGTGGTAATATTTTGATTATTTTCTAAGTTTATGTTTCACTTTAGAGAAAAAAAAGATATTCTAAAAGAAGGAATCTTTCGGGGTATTACAATAAGAGGATACAATTACCAAAACTTATCCTCTTAACCCTCCAACTAACACAATCATAACAATTAATTTATTAATTACAAATTTATTAAAAAAAGAAAGTAAAAAAAATTGTAAATAACATTAAGTAGTGATTATTATTCGCGTCACGCACGTGTAGTTGTGCTAAGTATCTTTGATGTAAATAGTATATATACCAACACTAATCACATGCATACTCTTTGTTCTATTTTCTTTATATATGTGTATGTGTGTTGACGATTTTCCTTTCAATATATACGCTATACATATTTGTACTACAATACAATCTTGTAACAAATTTAATATATGTACAATACATATGTATTTTGATCTTGCATATTTACTATTTGTTACCACAACTTTGTTTTATTGTCTTAAACATATTCAATAATTAAATCTACAATCAATCCAACTTGCGTACAACCGGCTTACAATAACACTAATGTAAAACCGGATTCACACGTGCCCTTCTTCTTCAACCTTCTTCAAACTTCATCTCACAATTTCGCAGCCGCAACAAACATCTCTCAAGTTCAGTTCAAGTCCTACTTTCAATCGAGCCCCATTGAAGTTGGCAAGGTCAGAATGATACCTTAGTGAGACGGGCAAAGACATACTCAATCGGTATCCGGATGTATTGAAGTTGAAGGTTGTTTTCCGTCACCTTCCCCCCTTCAGCTTCAAATTTGAAAAAAAAAAATAAAAAAAAATAAAATAGAGGGAAGGAGGCGAACCGTCGCCCTCCCGCATGGTGGCAAGTGTCACAGGTGCCACGTGGCAAGCCACGTCACACCGTTGAGGGGCAAATGTTTGGGGTAAAAATTACCCCTGACACGTGTCACTCTCATACAGGCCCAAGGGGATCCAATCAGAGGATGCCACGTGGCATTGAACCCCCAATGGAGGAGCAGATTCTCATCTGTTATAAATAGAGGAATCATCCTCATTTTTTTTGCATTCATAAATACAGACACAAATCCCGAGCAATGTTAATTGCGTAATCTCCCTGAATCAGAGAGAAACACCTATTTTACTTTCCGCACGCTTACTCATCCGGCATCTATTTTACTTTCCGCATGCTTACTCATCCGGAATCATACTAACTTGATCTTCGGAGGTGGAACTCCACCCAACCGGAGTTTCGTGTTTTTGCAGTTACAGGAATCAGGCGCTCATACCCGGTATTGTAACTCTCCCGAGGGACTAAAAACATCCGAAACACCAAGCATGATGGGATTGAGCGAAGAGGGTTATATGTTTCATTGTTTTGTTTCTTATTGTATTAGATTATTTATTTAATTGTTGACACTGACATATAATTATTGTTTTAATATATTTAGTTTGGTTTTTTGAAAGAGCCTTTAAATGGTTCCAAGTTATTGGTTTAATGTAAGTTGGTTTTAAAGTTTGAGTTTGTTTTATTAAACTTTTATTTTATTTGAATTTTTGAAAAATAGTCTTCCGTTGTGTGACTTTGAAAAGCCTTAGCCGTTATCACAGTGGTGGTAATATTTTGATTATTTTCTAAGTTTATGTTTCACTTTAGAGAAAAAAAAAGATATTCTAAAAGAAGGAATCTTTCGGGGTATTACAATAAGAGGATACAATTACCAAAACTTATCCTCTTAACCCTCCAACTAACACAATCATAACAATTAATTTATTAATTACAAATTTATTAAAAAAAGAAAGTAAAAAAAATTGTAAATAACATTAAGTAGTGATTATTATTCGCGTCACGCACGTGTAGTTGTGCTAAGTATCTTTGATGTAAATAGTATATATACCAACACTAATCACATGCATACTCTTTGTTCTATTTTCTTTATATATGTGTATGTGTGTTGACGATTTTCCTTTCAATATATACGCTATACATATTTGTACTACAATACAATCTTGTAACAAATTTAATATATGTACAATACATATGTATTTTGATCTTGCATATTTACTATTTGTTACCACAACTTTGTTTTATTGTCTTAAACATATTCAATAATTAAATCTACAATCAATCCAACTTGCGTACAACCGGCTTACAATAACACTAATGTAAAACCGGATTCACACGTGCCCTTCTTCTTCAACCTTCTTCAAACTTCATCTCACAATTTCGCAGCCGCAACAAACATCTCTCAAGTTCGGTTCAAGTCCTACTTTCAATCGAGCCCCATTGAAGTTGGCAAGGTCAGAATGATACCTTAGTGAGACGGGCAAAGACATACTCAATCGGTATCCGGATGTATTGAAGTTGAAGGTTGTTTTCCGTCACCTTCCCCCCTTCAGCTTCAAATTTGAAAAAAAAAAAATAAAAAAAAATAAAATAGAGGGAAGGAGGCGAACCGTCGCCCTCCCGCATGGTGGCAAGTGTCACAGGTGCCACGTGGCAAGCCACGTCACACCGTTGAGGGGCAAATGTTTGGGGTAAAAATTACCCCTGACACGTGTCACTCTCATACAGGCCCAAGGGGATCCAATCAGAGGATGCCACGTGGCATTGAACCCCCAATGGAGGAGCAGATTCTCATCTGTTATAAATAGAGGAATCATCCTCATTTTTTTTGCATTCATAAATACAGACACAAATCCCGAGCAATGTTAATTGCGTAATCTCCCTGAATCAGAGAGAAACACCTATTTTACTTTCCGCACGCTTACTCATCCGGCATCTATTTTACTTTCCGCATGCTTACTCATCCGGAATCATACTAACTTGATCTTCGGAGGTGGAACTCCACCCAACCGGAGTTTCGTGTTTTTGCAGTTACAGGAATCAGGCGCTCATACCCGGTATTGTAACTCTCCCGAGGGACTAAAAACATCCGAAACACCAAGCATGATGGGATTGAGCGAAGAGGGTTATATGTTTCATTGTTTTGTTTCTTATTGTATTAGATTATTTATTTAATTGTTGACACTGACATATAATTATTGTTTTAATATATTTAGTTTGGTTTTTTGAAAGAGCCTTTAAATGGTTCCAAGTTATTGGTTTAATGTAAGTTGGTTTTAAAGTTTGAGTTTGTTTTATTAAACTTTTATTTTATTTGAATTTTTGAAAAATAGTCTTCCGTTGTGTGACTTTGAAAAGCCTTAGCCGTTATCACAGTGGTGGTAATATTTTGATTATTTTCTAAGTTTATGTTTCACTTTAGAGAAAAAAAAGATATTCTAAAAGAAGGAATCTTTCGGGGTATTACAATAAGAGGATACAATTACCAAAACTTATCCTCTTAACCCTCCAACTAACACAATCATAACAATTAATTTATTAATTACAAATTTATTAAAAAAAGAAAGTAAAAAAAATTGTAAATAACATTAAGTAGTGATTATTATTCGCGTCACGCACGTGTAGTTGTGCTAAGTATCTTTGATGTAAATAGTATATATACCAACACTAATCACATGCATACTCTTTGTTCTATTTTCTTTATATATGTGTATGTGTGTTGACGATTTTCCTTTCAATATATACGCTATACATATTTGTACTACAATACAATCTTGTAACAAATTTAATATATGTACAATACATATGTATTTTGATCTTGCATATTTACTATTTGTTACCACAACTTTGTTTTATTGTCTTAAACATATTCAATAATTAAATCTACAATCAATCCAACTTGCGTACAACCGGCTTACAATAACACTAATGTAAAACCGGATTCACACGTGCCCTTCTTCTTCAACCTTCTTCAAACTTCATCTCACAATTTCGCAGCCGCAACAAACATCTCTCAAGTTCGGTTCAAGTCCTACTTTCAATCGAGCCCCATTGCTTCCATTGTTGCATCCTGGTTGTTCCATATATACTCGCATAAAATCAGAAACAGCGCAATTTTCTTCTTCAACCTTCTTCTTCAAACTTCATCTCACTCACAATTTCGCAGCCGCAACAAAACATCTCTCAAATTCGCTGCAATTCTCAACAAAACAACCATGAATTCTCTAATTCACAAATTATTACAATCTCAAAAACAAATTCAAGCTCCAATTTCAAACGTTGATTGTGCAATTGATGTTGATTGTGCACTTGATGTCGACTTAAACGACGAATTTTTGCAACAAAACCTAAATAGAAGTATAATTTTAAGAAATAGAAGTGTAACTTTAAGAAATAGAAGTGTAACTTTAAGAAATAGAAGTATTACTTTAAGGAATAAAAGTGTAACTTTAAGGAATAGAAGTATAACTTTAAGAAATAAAACGTAAAAAAAAAAAAAAATCGTTGGACTAGCACGTGTGAGCCCAATCCAGATGATAGAAGTAGGCCGGTTTTACACTAAGTTAGTGTAAGCCGGCCTTTTTCTAGAATTTGTGATCTACAATATATTAATTAACAAAAATGTAATTGAGTACAAAATCACGTGTCTAAAATATTTCATTATATATACTCACAAACCAAGTTGTACGCACTCGGTGGTTCAACTAGTGTTATCCAAATAAAATATTTATTAATCCGTAATTAAACTCACCACAGAAAAAAAAAAAAAAAAAAAAAAAAAATTATAAAATCTAAGTTGTTCAACCAGGCTTCAAATCTAATTTCCTTTTAATTGTATCCTTAACCTATTACCCAGAGTAGACTCCACCTGGTTTTTTGTGCCATTTGACGATTTTAACATGAAGTGCTACAAATTCAAAAGATCGAATACATTGTTAAGGAAGATAAAGGAGAAGAAAAGAAATTACATTAATGTTAAAAACCACAAACATGGTGTTAAAATCATGTCACTCAAAGAAGCAAATGTCAGCACATAACCATGTTTGCCAGCATAAGCTGATTTTTTAAAGGCAAAAACTCTTTTAAATTATGGCAAGCATCCAATAGCACCTGCATTAGCAAGTTTGACATTTCAGCTTCACTTGGGTCGATATCTAAATTGAGTGATTCATCAATGCATGTAAAGGTCTTAGCCCAGCTGTAGATACGCACAGTTAACGTCCAGAGGCATGAAACTGCAGCATCAGCAACCCCTCCCCACTTGATACTTGAAAGAAGAGATGAAAGAGTGACTGGTAGGTCAACTAGCACAGCTTGTGGATCTAGAACGAGCAATGGCATGTATTTGCAGAAGCAACCAGAGATCAGACCAAGAAACTGCAGTGCCTGAAGGGCCAACAATGATAGATTAGTCAAACTAGATCAAAGAGACGATAGGCAAGCTAGCTAAGAAATTTGCATATACAAAAGCTGGTTACTTTAATTTCAAGGTAATGCAAGAGCTGAATCTGACCAATCCGTTATAATTAGAATGCTCTCTCAGCAACATCAGTTAACAATCAACTCAAAATGATGAAAGTCATCTAATATTTCATATTTTGTTGTCGGATTTTTCTTGGACAACTATGCTGCTATTAATCCTGCAACATAAAGGGGTTCATAAAACTATAATGGACTAGATAGGTACTTCTTCCCAAACATTAAATTTCTTACTTCATAATTGCCATGGTTTCGCAAACATGATACTCATGGATTTTCCTATTTGTCGAAGTTTTCCTGAAATTGATCCTTGTATCCTTTTAAGTAAATTTTAGGAAAAATTTCCTTATTTTTCGATGAAAAAGATTCCATATGATGCTTCAAGAAAATTTTGTTCATTAAATTTCTGTCATTTACAAACATTAAGTTTTTATATGATGCCAATTTTTCAGCACGTTAGCCTGTGTGAACTAGTTCTGGACAGACTACCAAAATGTGTGGATGATTATGGTTAGATCAGTTTTGGAGGAACTACAAAGTTAAGGAGACTCCATTACAATTTTCTACAATGAACAACCTCGTAAGATGATTGAAAGGACTTCCTTCACATTCAGTGATGTGATCTACTGGTAAAAAATGTCACGATATCTATTGTATGGTTTCTTTCCCTATATTCTTATGCCCTGGTCAAAATCACATCGCAGTAAAAATTTTGTACACATATGATTATATGATGCTGTGACAATTGTAGGTAGTGTATCGATATTACTGAATTACAGGAGCAGCTATGATGGATGTGGCAAAGCAAATTCTCAGAGAATCTTTACTCATAATCAACTTTACATGTAAGTGAACCAAAATCATCCACGCATTTAAGCAGTCTAACACAGATAGTTCATGTAATTGACAAACAAAAGTACGACACAACACTGACAAATTTTGTACTGCAACAATGTTGGTGACCAAAAAGCCATATGGAACAGATGAAATCCTCTCCTAAATCAAAAATAAGAAAATGGCCAATGAAATATAAATGTAAAGGGAAATTCTACATGGTGGCCTCTTATTTTTGCAAATTCTATCTAGATTTTGGAAGACATTTTTTTGTCCATATTCTCAAGTGACCCTCTTCGTTTTGCATAACAATATAGAGTACCCTTATTAGTGTTTTATGGCTAACCTTTAGTGTAAAAGTTAATAATTTTATAGGCTATGTTAGTAATTTTAAGTCCAAGGTTAAAAATCAATCATTATATGGCAGGTTAGCCATATATAAGGGGACTGTTTATACTTGTGCAAAAAACAGGTCACTTGAAAACATGTAAAAAAAATGTCTTCCAAATTGAATTTGCAAAAATAACAGGTCACCATGTAAAAGTTCCCAAAAAAAAAAAAAAAATACCCAAAAACCCATTATTTTGCAAGAAAGATCTTGGCATCAAGGGACTTTAGATTTGGTTATAATCAAAAATTGGTATCCAAGATATTTTCCAAATGCAATAGGCTTCATTAAATTAATACATCCTCCGTTTTTTTAGTTGCATCACTTTTGTAAGAGGCTGCCCCAGTTAATCTCCGTGATAAACAAATTTCGTTTATCACGGAGTAATAACATTTTTGCGCAAAACCGACACTTGAGGTAGCGGTTTTGCCTTAAAACCGCTACGCTACTTTAGCGGTTTCAAGGCAAAACGTGAGGTAGCGGTTTTATCCATTTCACCACAAAAATTACACTTTTGTCCCCGTGATAAACAGAGCTTGTTTATCATGGAGATAAACTTATATTTTCTCCTTTTGTAATTGCGGAGCCCTAGACAATTATTGGAGTAGAGAGAGATAAAGAGAAAAAATAAAGAGGGCTCATGTGATAGGAGAGATAGAAATAATTTATTAACTAAATTGGAAAGTGATGCATCTAAATTGAAACTTCAGCGGAAGTATATTTTTTTTGTATAACTCACTTTCCATATGGTTGTTAATTTACTTCACTTTATTTCATTTTGACATATATCCTTATCCATCACTCCTCTCACCCCACACCCCACAATACTTGCACCTTTCCTCTCTTACTAAATCTTACACCCACCTGTTTCGGGGTTTTCTGATGTCCTACGGGAGAGTTACAATTCTGAGACTGGAACCGGACGCCTGTACCTGCAAGACAAACGGAGACTTCGAGTGATTGGAGTTCCGCCTCCAACGGTCAAGTTAATACTTGTTTAAGGAGTAAGTAATGCGGAAAAAAGTAAATCAGTCTCTCTAGGTAAGAGTATTAAATATGCGTAATCCCCTTTAATGAGGATTAATGAAGGTATTTATAACCTTGGGATGCGTGCCAATTCCTAGGTTTAGTTTAAACCTAAGGCTGACTGGGCTTTCCCCATGGATTAGGCCTTGTTTGCCGATTATCCCATGTGTCATGGGGTGGACACATGTCGTGTCGCAATTGGTCCATGGTGGATGGATCACTGACTGACACGTGGCAGGCTCCAAATGGCCCATGTGAAAGACACATGGCGGAACCTGGTTGGACCACTTGTCAGATAGTGATTGGTGGGAAAAATCCCCTAATCATTTGCCCCTCACAGGTGGCACGTGACCCTGTGACAGGTGTCAGATCATAACAGGCGACGGCCTGCTACAGGTGTCACTTGGTGAAAGGCCGAGAGTTTTTCCCGCTCAAATTTTAAATTTGGAAGTGACCCTTCGTCTTCTCATTTTGCCTATTTAAAGGCGTGTTGACTTCAGATATTTTCACACTTGAGAACTTTTATAAGAGAACACTCGGACCCCTGAACCTGCTCTGACATTTCGGACATTTCCGGCCTACCGCCTGCTCTGACAAGTCGGCTGATACTCAGATTACTTTCAGATCTTCGTCAACTTCTCTCTCGTTCAGGTAACCGTCTGTTCTCTCATTCTTTTTCTTTATTTTTTCTTTTTGAAATGGCACCACGGAAGCACACGACACGACCTAGGTTAGTGATCAGCCGATCACCGGGGACGGCTGAATCTAGAACTAGGAGTGTCGCCTGCCCCTTTTCGAACCAATCTTTGCCCTTTATACAAAGTCCGACTGTCTCTGTGTCTATGCAGAATATAATGGCCAGAACAAAAAGTACTGCTAGGATCACAAATTCGGACGGCTCCTCCTACCAGGTGCCGATTAGTGAAACATCTAACCAGGCGCCAGATGTTGAAGATGTTGAAGTGAAGCTCTGAGGGAGGGGTCAAGGTGGTCCCTTCCCATTTTACCGTAGATATGTCTACATTTTCTCCCGCTCCTATTGAAGAAGAGGAGGCGGGCCCTTCTGGGAGAGGGGAGGAGTCGTCCTCTTTGGACTCTTCAGAGGACGAGTCCGACTCTAGTTCGTCTGGTCACCCTTCTCTAGACACAGAGGAGAGACACAACCGCCTACAAGAGGCGAGGCTTTCTCATGCAGTAGAGAAAGGGGACAATTAGGCGGAGCCATCCGCCACCTATAGAGAGCAAAACACCCCGTACTACTGCACGGTTCCAAAAGGCCGGATCAAGGCCATGCAAGAGAAAGTGGGGAGCTTTATTGCGAACCATGTAATGGGCCCTTGCTTTTTAGTTTTTGTGCCGGATCCGGAAGACACGGTCATCTGGCCGGCTGGGACTAGTTATGATAGCGCCTGCTTTGGCTGCTATGAGGCGGCCATCAGAGCTGCGCTTCCCCTTACATCCGGCTGTTCAGCGGATCATGGATGGATATGAGTTGGGGTTATGGCAGTTAGCCCCAAATTCCTGGTTCAACGTTCTCGGCTATGTAGCCGGGTGCGAAATGTATGGGGTGGAGCCGAATTTCGAGGCTTTCGCCCATATGAACTATCTCAGTCAGACCCCTAAGGCAGGCGGTACCGGCTGGTACCAATTGACGAGCCACAGAGGCTACCTCATGACGAGAGGTAAAGAAAACAAATGGAAGGATTGGAGAAGCACCTTCCTCATCATTGAGAGTTCAGACAAGGAGCTGAACCAACGCTTTAACAGGTGGAACCGAGACCCGCCTCTTCTTGCAGGCGGTCGTAGCATGCCGCCTATTCCCCCAAAAGCTAAAAAAGAGATCCTAGACCGATGACACTTTTAAGTAGAGACCTGGGTCGACTCTACTACGGGGGTACGAGAGCAAGTACCCCTGCACTGCGTCCCGAGCTTCAAATGGCTCTATGACGAGTACTTCCTGGCCGCTTGTGGCCTCAGCAGTCGGTCCTCAAGAGGTAGCCGGCCTGTCGAATACGTGCTTTTGCGGATATTATTTTTATAAACTTTCCTAACTCTCGCATTTATTTATGCAGCGGAAGCCATGAGCAAGATTACCGCCTCCAAGACAGCGGCTGCTATGTTGCGTGCATCCATCATGCAGCAACACTCTCCGGCTGACTCTCCCAACAAGGAGACGCCCTTAGTAAGCTCCCAGCTTTCGCCTTTTCCTTTTTGTTAAAAGTTTTGTACACATACTAACCATTTGTGGTGTTTTTTTTTTTTTTTTTTTTTTTTTTTAGATGGGCACACCAACAACTTCCTCCTCCCAACAGCCAGACTCCAAGGCCCGAAAGACGACTGTGGCGAGTACGCCTGGTTCTGCCAGGAAGAAGGCGGCTGCAGACAAACAACCGGCCACTCCTCAAACTCTCAGCACGCCGCCTAGAAGTATGAAAATGCTCTTCTAGACTTTGACCTACTTTTCTTTCGCCTTGTCTAAAATTCTTGTTCACTCTTGATGCAGCCGGCCCTCAAGAATCGGACCTGGTCGAAGTGGCCAAGTCCATGATAAAAGCCGTCCCTCCAGCGGAGAGAGACGCGGTCATGGGTGTCGGCACCCTTGACCTAGATGGAATTGCAGGGCTCCTTGCTGAGGTATACTTGGCATATTTTCGTTGTT